CGCGGGGCGGCCGCGGGCCCCCCTCCGGTCGAAGTCGCACTGTGCGCTGCTCTCATGGCGCACGCAACTCTGGGGGCTCTGTCCCCCAGGGGGTGGGGTGGGCACAGGCAGATAGTCTCTAAGGCACACTCATCCCTTCCATACTGGGCTTCTGAGGTTTCGATGGCTTTCCGATGGAAAGCGTGACGCTCCCACACCAAACATCAGTGGACGTCCTGGGGTTTCAGGGCGGGGTTTCTTGTGGAAGGTTTCTTGTGGACTGGCCCCCGCTGTATCCATGGGGCCGCGTAATTATCCATGTGATCGCGCACTTGGTGGGCCCTGGACACGACAGGGCCGTTTGTTTGCCAGTTGCGTGCTGCATTCCTTTTGCCGAGCTTGTTTGGTTCGAGGTCCCGTCGCCGCTTGTTTCTTGGTTCCGCTTTGTTGTACAGTTTCCGGATTTTTTCCCAACCAATTTGTGGTGTTGGGCCCCTCGTTGGGAGGAGACGGCGCCCCGCGTTCCTCCTTCTCTTCCTCCTCTCCCCTCCGCACGTCGACCATTTTGGCACACCCATGATGCCCCGTCGGGAGTGAAGGCCCACCTGCCAGCGCTCGTGTGGCGTGCCCGCAACGCGAATGGGGTGAGGAGTGGGCGTGCTCGTTGGCGTAATCGTTGGCAACAGCACGATTCCCACACTTGGGGCACCCGTGGGAGCCTCGGAGGCCATCTCGTGGCCACCTTGGAGGTGATCGATCGAGGAAGAGGGAGGTTCCAATTGCCCCCCCCCCCCCCCGGGAGGCCAACGTGTGGCCGTACTCATAGTATCGTGAGTGATTTTGGCCTTGTCGCCGAGGCCATCTTGGAAGCTCCAACTTCTCGGGGAAGGCCCAGTTCAGGTCCAGGGGTAGGGGGTAGGGGGAGGGGTCAAGACCCCCCCCCCGCCCGCAAGCCGTCTCGCTCACTCCCACCCGCCCTCCCAACACATACGTAGCAGCCGAGTCTGGCCCGAGCCTCAGCATATTCAGCAGTCGTCTTTGGATGGGTAGCTACTGGGGGCCAACCCGCCGCAGCCACCGCCGCCTCCGCTGCCGCCGCAACTCCTCCAAAAAGGGAAGATGGAGCATTACAGTCGGATCGAAGTATGAGATCGAGGTCGGTTCGGGGAGGGTTCCCTACTGCTCTTTGTGTTTTTTGTTGGACTGCGCTGTGCACCCTGCGGGGGGACCCTTGGATGTTACAGTCGGGGCCCTGAAGAAGGGACCCTTTTCGTTGGGGAGGGGCTCCGTGTTCCTTACGTGTTTCGCAGCTTGCCTCAGTTTTCCTTATGTTTTCGATCGGAAGTCGAAGTTTAACTCATGGAAAAAAGGGGCCTCGTTCCTTATTTGGGGTTCCCCGACTGTGTGTGCTTCTTGGCCGACGGAGGGCCCCTATGCTCTCGAGGCATGCTCTCCTCGCCCAGGCCCCACTGCAAAGGGAAGGAGGCGCCTCCCCGAACCATCCACGCCCCGAAGGGCTGGTGGTCGGGCTTCCTCGCGCCCTGAAGGGCACCCCCGCAATGCGCGCTTCCTCTCCCCCTCTCTCTGCAGTCGGGGCGCCGACGAAGGAGCCCTTGTCGTTTGGGATGGGGCCCCGTGTTCCTTAATGGTTCCACAGTTTGTCTTATGTCTTCCTTAGGTTTTCGATGGGAAATCGAAGTCTAACTTATGGGAATAAGGAGCCTCGTTCCTTATTTAGGGTTCCTTAGGTCAACGCCCCGACTGTACCTTCGGGCGAAGAGAACAATGCACGTGCACCGATCCTGGCAGGGCCCATCCCTGACCCAGTATCGGTGCATATGCCTTCCTGGCCAAGGCAGGAGGGCGTGTGCGCCGAGCCTGGGTTCAGGATGGACCTGGCCAGAATCGGTGTGTGTGTGTGTGTGTGTGTGTGTGTGTGCGCACAGTTCTTGTTTCTCTATTCCTTCGCCCCCGCGGCCTTCCCCTTTTCCGTTCGCGCCGCAATGTGTTTCGTTGCGCCCCGCCGTCGTTTTGCCGCTGCTCGGACCCATGGGTCCGCCTACATAACATATTTGCTCAGCAGGAGGAGGAGGAGGAGGAGGAGGAGGAGGAGGAGGAAGAGGAGGAGGAGGAGGAGGACTGGATTTGGAGGATTAGGAGCTCTCGATTATCCTCCCCCTCTCCCCGTCCTTCTCCTCTCCCCTCCTTCCTCCCTCCTTCCTCCTCTTCCCCCCTCCCGTCTTTCTTGTCCTCCCTCTGCCCTTCCCCTCCTCCTTTCCCCCCAGCCCCCCCCTGCCGTGCGCGCACGAGTGCCCCCCCCCCCCCCCGGGCTCCCCTGCCTCCCGCGCCCCGCTCCTTTCTCCGACCCTGTTCCCCCCTCGCGGCGCCGCCCCCCCCCCCCTGGCTTGCGCCTAGAGGTGCCAGTGTCCGCGCCAGCGGTGTTATCCTCGAAACATGCAGGGCAGGCTGTTCTTGAATCTGGAACCAACCAAATGGGGGAACAAAAAGTTCTACATAACATAAACAACTCGAGGTTTCGTGCGGATTCTCGATCGGCGCTGGCCCCCGGCGGCGCCTCCGGCGCCGCCCCTCGCGCGCTCCGCGCGCCAGGGAGGGAGGTCCAGCGCCGATCCGAGAAATCCGCGCGGACCTCAGAGTTTTTATGTTTGTGTTACTTTTTCTTCCCCTAACAAAGGAAGCACCACCGCCTGGCACCTCGCCTCCCCCCTTCACCGCTCTGCATCCTCTCCACCCCGCTTCCCTCGCGCCCCGACTCTGGGCGTGCGGCTCCTTCGGAGCAGAGCAGCTCCGTGGCCTCGCGTCCGTATACGATCCCCAACGAGTCATCAAGAAGCGGAAGGAAGATTCCAAATCCCTTCTTCATCGTCCTCTGGGTCCGGTTTTTTAAGGCGCCTTTTTTCTAACTGGGGGGGTCCGGTTCACTAGGGCGCTTTCTTTGGATGGGAGCTTAGGGTGGGGGCCGGTTTATTAAGGTGCCCCTTCGAAGAGGGGGGTCCGGAATATTAGGTCGCATTTGGAGGGGGGTCTGGGGGGCGATTAATAAGGGATTTGGAGTGCCTTTCGAGATTCGAGAGGGATTTTCCCCCCACTGTGTAGGTGGTGATGTTGCTTCGCAATCGCTCCGAATCCAAATCCGAACCCCTCTGTTTCTCCCCCTTCCGCTTTCCCCTCCATCTCGCACCCTCCTGGGATCATTGCCCCAATCGCTGGCTACGCGACTACATCGGATATCCTACACCACGGAGAGGGACGGGAGGGAGGGGGAGGACGTCGGATGTGACGCTCGTGCGCCCCGCGTGTCCCCCTCCCCTCCCCCTTCACCGCTCCGCACCCTCTCAACCTCGCCTGCCTCGCGCCCCCCCCCCCTCCTCCCCGACCCCGTCCCCGTGCCCCCTCCTCTCCGTCACTCCTACCCATCGGTCGTTGAAAGTAGGTATCTTTGGATTCCCAGATTGCAACCTACTTTCAGCGCCTTCCTACCTCAAGAGTCGAGTGGTTTTCCCTCTTCCCTCCTCTTCAGGAGGCGGGCGGAAACCCAATCTATTTCCAACGCCTTCCTACTTCATGTTTCTACCTACTTCTTCCGTCCGATGGGTAGCGGAAATTGAAAGATTTGGCGAAAGTGTCCCGCCGATTTCGGTGGCCGGGGCTCCGGGTTCCCGGGCTCCCGGTTCCGGGTTCCAGGGGTTCCCGGGTTCCTGGTGATTGGCTCCGGGCCGATCTTTCGGTGGGTCCCGGGCTCCCGGGTTCCCGGTCGATCTCCTTATCGACCAAACCATCCACCTATGATTGGGGTTTTTGCTCTGGTGTAATTTCCCCCCCTTCACCACCCATGCCAATCCATCCCTAAGGCCTCACTTTGCCCTCCATTTCCAGTGGGGGGGGGTCGGGGAACATCGACAAAAAAACATATATTGAGCCCAGTCCCCCCCCCCCAACCCGAAATTCGGGTGTTCGGGCTGGGTTGGGGTGGTCTAGTAGGTAATTAGTCACCTTCCCTCTCCGCGCTGGCCAGCCTCGGGGTGGTCCCCCCCCCCAGACCCCCGACGTCGTGATTTTTTCATGACGCGACCCCCAGAGGTCCAGACCCCTTCCACGGGACCGGTTTTTCATCCAGAGTCGTTTTTTGACGGTCCCGAGGCCCGGTGAGGGCCCTCAGAGGCTGAAAATAGCCGAAAACCTCCCGTCGTGATGTTTTCACGACGCCAGGAGGTCTGGGCCCTCGGGCCTCCCCGCGCCAGCCACGCCTCTCTCGCGGCGGCCTCTCCGCCCTGAGCTCGTTGCGGGGGGCCCCCTCTCTTGCTGCACGCCCGCCGGCCCGGCCACGGCGGGCCGCGCGCGCACGCGCGGAGGCCGCCGAGACGCTGGAGGAGGCGGTGGCGCTGGAGGAGGAGGAGCTTTCCTCCTCCTTCTCCTCCTCCTCCTCCTCCTCCTCCTCCTCCTCCTCCCTCCTCCTCCTCCTCCTCCTCTCCTCCTCCTCCTCCTCGTCCTCCTCCTCCTCCTCCTCCTCTCCTCCTCCTCCTCCTCCTCCTCCTCCTCCTCCTCCTCCTCCTCCTCATCCTCCTCCTCCTCCTCCTCCTCCTCCTCCTCCTCCTCCTCCTCCTCCTCCCCCCCCCTCCTCCTCCTTCTCCTCCTCCTCCTCCTCCTCCTCCTCCTCCTCCTCCTCTCTCCTCCTCCTCCTCCTACTGTTCCCTCCTCCTCCTGGTTTTCCTCTCCTCCTCCTCCTCCTCCTCCTCCTCCTCCTCCTCCTTCCTGTTCCTCCTGTTCCTCCTGTTCCTCCTCCTCCTCCTCCTCCTCCTCCTCCTCCTCCTCCTCCTGCGGAGGCACGCGATTGCTTGGAAGCAGAAACGTCGGGCACCGGTTCCAGTGTCGTTCGGCGCCGCTTGCACCGTCTTTCTAGCAGGCGCAGTGAAGGACATGTGGGAAGGAGGGGATTGGGCAAACATCGTGACGGCAGGTTTTCGCCGCGTCTGACCCCCGTGTGTGGGGGCCTGTATGCTATGCCCAGCCCCACGGCCGTCCGCAAGATACGCGGCTCCGCACGAGACACGCCAGCCTTAGGCACCGCCGAGGCCTCCGACGCCGTGCTTGTTTTTCAGCACGCGGCTCCCCAGAGGTCTGGCCACCCAGGGTCCCGAGCCGTCTGAAAGCGGCTCGGGACGAGCCACACCAGCCCTGGGGAAGGCCAAGACCTCTGACGCCGTGATCGGCGATCGAACAACACACATAACCCATAGTTACCCATATGGGGAGACGGAGGCAGCTATGGGTGCGTGTTGTTGGATGGGGACCCCCGCTCGATCGGGAGCCCTCCCCCCCGCCCGCACATTTTCTTTGGGTGGAGCGCAAAGGGTGAAATCTGAAATGCCGTTTCGATTGATCTTCGAGGCTTGAACCTGCAAAAGGTGAATCACAAGACAGATTGATTTTCGAGGTGCAGAAGCCCATATGGGCTTCAACCTGAGCCCTTGGCACTAGGAAAGCGCTCAGCCCGCGGGGCCCGACAGCCTGCGCCCATGCCCATAGCCAGTTCTCCTCACCCACCCACAGCACGACGCGGCTCTCCCCAGAGCCCTGGCCCCCCTTGCTGAGGGCCGGTCCTGTCATGCTCCGGGTCGTCTTGTGGATGGCCCCAGGGCCTGGCACAGGGAGGAGGAGGAGGAGGAGGAGGAGGAGGAGGAGGAGGAGGAGGAGGAGGAGGAGGAGGAGGAGGAGGAGGAGGAGGAGGAGGAGGAGGAGGGCCCCCAGAGGCCGAGAATGACCGAGAGCTTTCCGTCGTGCTCTTGCTCGCGACGCGGGGAGGGCTGGGCGCCTGCCGCCCCCGAGAGCCTCACGGGCCGACACACCCCCCGCGAGGCGCAGCCCGGGGCTGCGCGCCCGGGCCAGGACACTGAGTGGCGCGGCGGCTGCAGCCGGAGGCCACGCCGAGGTCTGGCAGTGGCCAGAGCCGCTCCATAGGGGGCCACGTGCGAACCCTGCTCAGGAGGGGGAAAAACACACATACACAATTAATCTGCGATTCCCAGAAAATATGGGAAAATATGGGAAGTGGAGGGGAACACAAAAAAACAGAAAAAATGAGAAAATATGGGGGATAGTTTTATTTGTGTGTATTTATTTGTGTGTCCCAGTTCCCCTTCACCTGCCCCTGCCCCCCAAGATCTCTGAGGGGGAGGGGGGGGGTTTCTTCGCTCGGGAGCTCCCGGACGAAGTGAACCCCACCCTGCCCCTCAGAAATCGTGGGGGGCAGGGGCAGGGTTCGCACGTGGCCCCCTGGCTCCAGCGCAGGGGTCGGCGGAGAGCCTCGGGGGGGAAGGCCGAGGGGCCGGGCCTGCCCAGCAGGAGGCTCGGGAGGCCCGCGGCCCGCTCCGGGGGAGTCTCGGGAGAGCCTTCCTCTTTTGGAGGCGGAGGCGGCCTCTCGGAGGGCCGGAGGTCTCCCGAGAAGCGCCGCCGCCTGCTGAGAGGGCCTGGCTCGGGTATCGCCAGGACCCCAGGTACGGTAGGTCCACGTCGTGTCGACTTGCGGCGACCCCGCCACTGGCGTTCAACGTTGAACGCGGCCAGCGACCCATGATCGGTCGATGTTGAACGATCGGACGTTGCGGCAGCGGCCGATCGTTCAAGGTTGAACGATCCCAGAGGCCGGGAATGACCGAGAGCTTTCCGTCGTGCTCTTGCTCGCGACGCGGGGACGGCTGGGCGCCTGCCGCCCCCGAGAGCCTCACGAGCCGACCCCCCCCCCCCGCGAGACGCAGCCCAGGGCTGCGCGCCCCGGCCAGGAGTGGCGCGGCGGCTGCAGCCGGAGGCCACGCGGAGGTCCAGCAGTGGCCAGAGCCGCTCCATAGGTCACCACCCACCAAACCACCCCAACCCAACCCGAAGGCCTCAAATTGACCTCCATTTCCAGTGTGGGGGGGGTCGGGGAACATCGAGAAAACACATATGGAACCCGTACCCCCCCCAACCCGAAATTCGGGTCTTCGGGTTGGGTTGAGGTGGTCTAGTAGGTAGTCAATAGGGGGCCACGTGCGAACCCTGCCCCTGCCCCCCAAGATTTCTGAGGGGGAGGGGGGGGGTCACTTCGCTCGGGAGCTCCCGGACGAAGTGAACCCCACCCTGCCCCTCAGAAGTCGTGGGGGGCAGGGGCAGGGTTCGCAGGTTCGGGCGAAGAGAACTATGCACATGCACCGATCCTGGCAAGGCCCATCCTTGACCCAGGATCGGTGCATATGCCTTCCTGGCCAAGGTACGAGGGCGTATGCACCGATCCTGGGCTCAGGATGGGCCTGGCCAGAATCGGTGTATGTGCATAGTTCTTTTTCCTCTACAGGTGGCCCCCTGGCTCCAGCGCAGGGGTCGGCGGCGAGCCTCGGTGGGGAAGGCCGAGGGGCCGGGCCTGCCCAGCAGGAGGCTCGGGAGGCCCGCGGCCCGCTCCGGGGGAGTCTCGGGAGAGCCTTCCTCTTTTGGAGGCGGAGGCGGCCTCTCGGAGGGCCGGAGGTCTCCCGAGAAGCGCCGCCGCCTGCTGAGAGGGCCTGGCTCGGGTATAGCCAGGATGGCCCAGGTAAGGGGACCCGGTTAGTAGTAGGGCCCCAGAGCCCCTACATTGGCCAGAATCACTAAACCAGGTTTGCCGCAGCTGGTGTTTTTTCGGGTGACGGCAGCTCGGGTTAGTGGAACGGGGCGGGGGGCGTCCCCCAGTACACATCACCAAACCAGGTCCCACTAAACAGTTCTGCCAACGCCCGACACTTCCCCCCTGGGCTCGTCGCCGAACGGATCCTCGGACTCGATCCTCGATCCTCGAGCCTGGAGCCTCGAGGCCGCGGGGCTGCCCCGCGGTAGACTAAGCCGGGGCGTCGGAAGTAGCTTTGGGCCCGCGCCGCCCTCGGCGCCATCCCCCTAGCCCTGGTCCCGCCGGGGCCCCTCGACTGGCCGCGAGGTGCACGGGCGGGCACAGCCAGGCAGGATCATGAGGGTGGAGCAGCTTCTGATATTGTCTTCTGACTCTCTGGCCCGTCACGGTCGCTACCTGGGCCGAAGCCCTTCCACCCCTGGGTAACTGACGGCAGCGATCGCACGCAGCGGGGGGGGGCCCTGCACGAGGGCATTCGGGCGCATGCTGTGGCGATCGCAGCGCACCCTTGCCCCGATGTGCCCCAGCCCGCCCAAGCGTTGCCGTTGTCCGGCCCGCCCCCCGCGGGGAATGGCCGTTACCTGACATGATTTATCTTGACGAAGCACCCAGCCATATGCAATTGTGAGTACCGCAAGGCAGGTGGGACGAAGGAGGGGGCTCATTCTGGGGCCACGAGACGTGTGAGGGTATGCCGGCATGGGCGGGAGGGCGCATGTGGACATCGCCGCCAAGGTCTTCGGTGCCGTTTCCTAGGGTCCTCTGGGCAGGCCACGAAACGCTGTACTGGGAATCGCCGACGCATGTGATCACAGCCACTTGGGGCCTTCGGTGGAGCTTCCTATGGGGCCACGAATCGTTGTATTCTCGGACGCGGACGCATGTGATCAAAGCCACTGGGGGGCCTTCGGTGGGGCTCCCTATGGGACCACGAAGCGCTGTATTTTCGGGCGCGGACGCATGTGATCACAGGCCATTGGGGCCTTCGGTGGAGCTTCCCATGGGGCCACGAAACGCTGCACGGCGCGGATGGCAGAGGCAAGGATTGGACGATGGGGAGGAGGGGCGAGGAGGAGGAGAAGGAGGGGGAACGCGGGGCGCTGTCTCTTCAAAACGAGAACCCAATACCACAGGATGGTGATGAACGATGAGGAGGGAAGAGGGGGAGGGCAGCGGGAAGGATGGAGACGAGGGGCGCTGTTTCTTTCAAGCGAGGACCCAACACCACATGCTGGTGAGAAAGAAAAACCGCCTTGCTGCTGATGCTGCTGATGCTGATGCTGCTGACGGCGATGATGATGCTGCTGCTGATGCTGCTGCTAATGATGATGACGATGCTGCTGCTGCTGCTGATGATGATGATGATGCTGATGACGGTGGTGGTGGTGGTGGTGGTGGTGATGATGACGATGATGATGATGATGATGATGATGATGAAGATGATGATCATGATCATGCTGCAGATGCTGCTGCTGCTGCTGCTAATGATGGTTATGTTGATGACGATGCTGCTGCTGATGATGATGATGATGATGCTGATGATGCTGATGATGCTGCTGTTGATGATGATGAGGCTGATGATGAGGAAGAGGATGCGGACGAGGATGAGGACGAGGATGGAGACCTTCCGATCCGAGCGTCGCAACACAAGCCGCGACGCAATCTTTTCCACATGCTCGGCCTCTTGTGGCCGCGTCCTGGCCCCAGGCTTGTCAACCAATTGCTTGATATTAGGTGTGTTACGCGTGAGTGTCTTCTAAGGAGCATGAGCTGCTGTCTTCCACGGCAACCTGCATGTATTACTAGTCATGCGTGGAGGCCCCAAACAGGCGCCAGTAGACATTGATAGGCGCTAAACGACACGAATAGGCGCCAATAGGCGCTACGAGGGACACATATAGACACTATTGGGCGTTAACAGGGCGGAGCCTGTCTTAAACTCACGCCCACACCTACTTCTCCTCCTCCTCCTCCTCCTCCTCCTCCTCCTCCTCCTCCTCGTGCTCGTCCTCGTACCTTCACCTCCTCCTCCTCCTCTCCATTCCCCGCTCCGGCCTCCGCGCCCCCTCCCCTCCCTCCCTTCTCCCCCAACCCCCCCCGCCCCCTCCTCCTCCCCCTCCTACTCCTCCTCCCCCTCCTCCTCCTCCTCCTCCTCCTCCTTCTTCTCCTCCCCCTCCCCCTCCCATTCTTCCTTTTGGTTCTCGTCCTCCTTCCCCGCCCCGCGGCCCCCCTCCGCTCCCCGTCCCCCGCCCGCCACCATCGTTCTTTCTTTTCCTTCGGCTCCTGCTGCCGACCTGCCGAACTGAAGGCGCAAGAGTCTGTCAGGGCTCCTCCTCCTCCTCCTCCTCCTCCTCCTCCTCCTCCTCCTCCTCCTCCTCCCTTATCTCTCCCTTCCTCTTTCCCTCTCGCTCTCCCCATGCCTCTCATGCCTCCTCTCACTCCTCCACAAAAACCTACGCTCCCTCCTCGGACCTCCTCCTCACTCCTCTCCTCGCTCCTCCTCCTCCCCCTCACTATCCTCTTTCAGTTCTGCTCTCGTCGACTCCAGCCTCCTCCCTCTCCTCTCCTCCTCCTCTCCTCCTCCTCCTCGCCCTCCTCCTCCTCCTCTCCTCCCTTCTCCCGCCTCCCTCCTCCTCCCTCCTCCTCCTCTCCGCCCGCTCCTCCCTCCTTCCCCATCTGGCGTGCTTCGAGTGCACCTCACCGACGGCTCACCAAAGGACTGAGACGTGCTGCCGACCATGGCGCCCCATCCTCCATCCCCTCCCCCCCTCCCCTCCCCCTCCCCGCCTCCACCCTGCGAAGGCTTAGAGGCTGACCTGACACCAACACCAATATCGGCGGTGCCCCTCCACCGCGGGTGGCCCCTCCGTCCCCCCCCCCCCCGCCCCCCCCGAGCGTCTGCTCTGGGTAGTAGGCCGCTGTCCCCAGCGAGCCCAGAGAGACCGCGGCGCCCCCACCCCCTCCCCGCCCTGTGCCCTGCGGCGCGGCGCGCGGGCAGGCGGCAGCCGCAGACCCACGCCCCGAGGGGCCCTCGGCGGCGCCTCGAGCGGCGCCGAGCGCCCGCGGCGAGGAGGCGCCGCCCGCCCCCCCCGCGCGGCGGAGCGCAGGAGCCGCCGCCGGAGGCCCGTGGCAACCAGCTCTACGGGCACACCTTCGCGGTGCTGAAGGCCCCTGGCGGCGGGCGCCGCCGCCGAGGTCGCCGCCGTCGCCGCCAGCGTTGGCGCCGGCCGCCGCCGTCGGCGCAGCCGCCGCCGCCGCCGCTGCCGGCGGCGCCGTCGCCGCCGCCAGCGCCGCGGCAGCGGCCAGCAGTGTGGGCACACCGTGGCGGTGCCGGGGGCCCGGCGGGGGCTCCGCCCACGCGGTGCACGCGCCAGAGGAGGTCGGCGCAGCGCGAGCGCGCGAGGGGGGGCCAGAGGGTGCCCGCGGTCTGGTCGGGTGCGTTCGGTCGGTTCGCTTCGGCCAGCTCTTGTGCCGCGTGCCTCCAGCCCGCTCTCGGACCTTCCGTCGGTTGTGCCGTTGCCGCGCCGCGGCGCCCGTCTGGGCTGCTTGCAGCCTGCCGGTTTCGGTCTCGAGGTCTGTGTGGTCGGCTTTCGGTGCGTGCGGCTGTCACCGCGGACGGCCCCCGGACCAACTCCTCCCACGCCGTGTCTTTTTGAAGTTTCTTTCGACACGCGGGCCCCAGAGGATCGCCCCGAGGTGTTTCGGTCCGGCCTGGAACTGGGACGGCGTAAATCCCCCGCTTGGAGTTCTTTCAAGACGTTGGATCGGTGACCACATTTGAACCCTACCACCACCCCCCACGATTTTTAAGGGGGGGGGGTCACTTCGTTCGGGAGCTCCCAAGCGAAATGAACCCCGACTCCCCGTCAGAAATCGTGGGGGGTGGGCCTAGGGTTCACACCTAGTTGGAGGCCCAGGCACCAGTAAAAACAGAGGGAGGGATCAGCTCCAGATGGGAAACGACACACAGACACAATTCATCGTCGATCCCCAGGAAAATATGGGAAAACATGGGAACTGGCGGGGAAGGCGAAAAACCAGGATGTATGAACAAATATTGGGAATCCTGGGGTCCAGGGAGGAAAACCCACCCAGTCCGGACAATTAGCGTTTACTAAACGGCCTTGGGCGTTTACTAAACAGCCCTGCCTTGTTCGATTCCTTCAGTGGGGGCGTTTAGTAAACGGCGTCGCGTGTCGGGGTGTTTATTATGGGGGTGGATTTTTTGCCCTCTAGGAGGGGGTTGACAAACGGTCAGATAGGGTTTTTCGCAGGTTGCGCCTCGACGGTGGAGAATGCAGTAGAGGACTGGCACACAAGTGTACAAGAGGTGCGCGGCATTCGTCGCCCACATGGAGAGTACTCCGCCCCCAGGTCACGTGTGAGCGGCCCACACTCGTCATCAAGAGGCTGCTCGTAGCTTGGCGCGAATTAGAATAAACGAAAATCTCTGGGCGCCAGGTCCATGAAACAAAACACGGCTGGGGATGGAAAGCTGGCCCCAGGCCCAGGGGAGATGGCTGGGACTTTCAGGGGGTCCGTTTTGATAAGGGAAGACGGTGGGCCCGCAAGGGCATGGAGTACATCAAACGCGGTGGTGCAAATCTGGGGGTAAGCGTGCTGTGTCTCTGAGGGCCCGACCCTCCTTACATCAAAGCCCTCCAAACCAAGTCCTCTGGACCCTCCTGGGGCTCATCCTCGCCAGTACAGTCAACCCACATAGTAAGGATGAGCAACTTTCAAAGGCTGCCTGTGCGTCCTTGCCCCTTCGGCCCGTCTGGCCGCGCCCCGCCCGCAGAGTGTCGACATGGCCTACCGTGCGTCCGGATCGTGCGTCCTTCTGATACGGGTTGGTTGTAAGCATGCTGTATTTCTGAGGGCCCCACCCTCCTCAGGCAGATCAAAGCCCTTGAAGCCAAGCTCTCTGGACCCTCCTGGGGTCCATCCTCGTAGGTTACCGCCAAAAGGAGGAGGAGGAGGAGAAGGATGAGGAGGAGGAGGAGGATGAGGAGGAGGAGGAGAGTAGGAGGTGGAGGAGGAGGAGGAGAGGAGGGAGGGGAGGGGGAGGAGGAGGAGGAGGAGGAGGAGGAGGGAGGGGAGAGGAGGAGGAGGAGGAGGAGGAAGGAGGAGGAGGAGGAGGAGGGAGGAGGAGGAGGAGGAGGAGGAGATGAGGAGGAGGGAGGAGGAGGAGGGGGAGGAGGAGAGAGGAGGAGAGGAGTAGGAGGAGGAGGAGGAGGAGGAGGAGGCGGAGAGGAGAGGAGGAGGGAGGAGAGGGGGAGGACGAGAGGAGGAGGGGAGGAGGAGGAGGAGGATGAGGAGGAGGAGAGGAGGAGGAGGAGGAGGAGGAGGAGGGGAGAGGGAGGAGGAGGAGGAGGAGGAGGGGGGCGGGAGGAGAGGAGGATAGTGAGGAGGAGGACGAGGAGGATGAGGAGGAGGAGGAGGAAGAGGAGGAAGGAGGAGGAGAGGGGAGAGTAGGAGGAGGCGAGCGGGGGAGGGGAGGAGGAGGAGGAGAGAGAGGGGAGGAAGGGGATGAGGAGGAGGAGGAGGAGGAGGAGGAGGAGGAGGAGGAGGAGGCGGAGGAGGGGGAGGAGGAGGAGGAGGAGGAGGAGGAGGACTTCCCGGCAATCTCCCGATCGCCCCGGGGCCCGCGGGGGGCTTCCTCGCCCTGCCCGGGGGCAGCCCCCCCCCCGCGCGCGGCGCAAGGGGGAGCTGCTCATGAGCCAGATGCTGGAGCCCGAGGCGCCCGGCCGTGGCTCGCGCCCCGTCGTCGCCGTCGTCGTCGTCGTCGTCGTCGTCGTCGTCGTCGTCGTCGTCGTCGCTCGTCGTCGTCGCTCGTCGTCGCCGCCGCCGCCGTCGCCGCCGTCGCCGTCGCCGTCGCTGCCGCCGTCGTCGCCACCGCCGTCGTCGTTGTCGTTGTGGTTGTCGTCTACCTCGTCGTCGACGAGGCGGAGGTGGAGGGAAGGGTGAGGGAAGGGAACGAGGAGCGACGAGGAGGGTGTGGGGGAGGGTGATGAGGAGCAGGGTGATGAGGAGGAGGGGGGGAGGGGGTGGAACAAGCTAGGTGCGCTCGCGTCATATCTGACGTCCTACCCCTCCCTCCCATCCCTTACCATGGCGCTGATTTTCTCTATCCGCGGACGCGTGTCGTAGCGGACCTGTGGCTCCGCGCGCGCGTGCGTAGTGGGTGGTGGTGCCGTGCGTTACAGATCGTCGCGTGTGTGCGGGTTGTCGTTGTGGGTGTGTGGTGTGTAGTGGTGTGTGGTGGTGGTGGTGGTGGATGGTGGTGTGGTGGTGCGGTGGTGCCTGGAGCTTGTGCCTGGTGCTGGTGGTGCTGGTGTGGTGTTGGTACTTGGTGCTGGTGCTGGTGCTGGGTGGTGGTGGTGGTGGTGGTGGTGGTGCGGTGCGGCGCGGTGGTGGCGGGCGGATGGGCGCGCGAGAAGAAGGCCCGCGCTGGGGCGAGAACGCCATCCTGAACGACGGAGGCCAAACACCGATCCGAAAATGAGGCCCACGCTGCAGCGGGAACGCAATTCGGAACGATTCGGGAGCAGAAATGAGCCCGGCGCCTCAACGAGAGCAGCATTTTGGGAAAAAATGACGCCGGCGCCTCAGCGAGAGTCGTTTCCCGGGATTTCCCGGGAATCCTGTGTGTAAAAAAACAGTACGCGGAGGGTGCGCGGCCATCACCCGGACGCCATCAGGGGAAGAGGGGGAGTATTTTCATATTGAGTAATTGTGGAGGGGAGGGGAGGGGAGGGGAGGAGAGGAGGAGGAGGAGGAGTAGGAGAGGAGGAGGAGGAGGAGGAGGAGGGAGGAGGAGGAGGAGATGGGGGAGGAGGAGGAGGAAAGAGGAGGAGGGAGGAGGGAGGAGGAGGAGGAGGAGGAGGAGGAAGAGGAGGATAAGGAGGAGGAAGAGGAGGAGGAGGAGGAGGAGGAGGAGGAGGAGGAGGAGGAGGAGGAGGAGGACGAGGAGGAGGAGGAGGAGGAGGGAGGGGGAGGACGAGGATGGGTGGGGGGTGGGGGATGGAGGACGAGGGGGAGGGTCTCGAGGCCCCGTTACGCGAAGCTTGCCCCGCACCAGCAGAAACAAACCGTTTCAGCGTGTATTTCGTTGCGCGCGACGTTTCTCAGCATCTTCTCTTTGGTTTCAGCACCACTCTCAGCATGCCAGTATGTATTCCAGCACTCACCATTGAAACTCGCGACTCTTCAGCACCCTCTCGTCGGATGCATCTTTATGAAACACAACTAAAGTGTATCAGGCGCCTGCGTCTTGAGTATTGAAGGTGATATCCACTCGAGGAAGCCGCGTCGTGTGGGCCTGCGACGCATTCAATACATCGGTTTGTGTTGGAGGGCTTCGCGAACGCAGGAATAGGAAGACACGTAGTGTAAGGAAACTGGGCACCGCGTTTAAGAAGGCCAACTTTTTTTGCAACATGGTTTACCTTGGGTTAGGGAGCATGTGCGCTTGTCTCGTGCCTTTCACGTTGCTGTTCACTGGCCAGCGCTCCTGCCTCTCCTCTGCCATCGTTGCTGCCTCCAGCCCCCGTGGTCTCATGATTTTATCCCATCCCCCCCCAAAAAAAGGTTTGCACGCGGCCAGAAGGCGAGCCCGCGTCGACGCTCTGCAACCGTTTATCCTTTTTGCCGCATCGCCTCCCTGCCTTCCAGCGGGACCGTGCCGCGCCGCGGGCTTCCGATCGGCCAGGTCATGCACTTCGTGTCCGAGTTCGGCGACCTCTTCACCACGATGTTCACCGCATACTGCGATACTCCGGCGACGCTCGCCGTCGTCGTCGTCGTTGTCGGCGTCGGCGTCGTTGTCGCCGTCGTCGTCGTCGTCGTCGCCGGCGTCGTCGTCGGCGTCGTTGTCGCCCGTCGTCGCCGTCGCCGTCGTCGTCGTCGCAGAGTACCCCGGCGACGCTCCGCCCCGATGGCGCCCTCCGCTCTCCCGTCGCTCTGCCCGCGGGGCCCGGCGAGCCCCTCGCTGCCCCCTTCGCTCAGGAGGGAAAGAGACACACAGACACAAAAAAATCGACGACTCCCAGGAAAATAGGGGAAACTCTGGGAAGTGGGGGGGGAGACAAAAACCCAGAAAACATGGGAAAACATATGGGGAGTATTTTTACTTGTGTGTATCTATTTGTGTGTGTGTCCTGGGGCCCCTTCCTTTCGCGTCGGGCTGCAGGGGCCGCTGCTCGCGTGCTCCGCGACAGGTCGGCGGTGGGAGTTTTGGGGAGGCAGCCTCGCTGTACACCCCCTAGGCGATGCTTAGGAAAACTTAAGTTTTTTCGTCCAGAGTCTTGATGATTCTTAACTTTTCAGTGTAAATCCCAAGATGTTTCGGGAGCGGAAAAGAGGGGGGTGATGACTAGGGGGGGTGGATATCATGGCGCGGGCCATGATATTTCCCCAGATTTCATGGCGCCTCTTCTTATTTCATTACGTCCCTGGCCCCCCCGCTGGGCCGCGCACATGCCGCCGGTCATGATTTGCACCCCCCCCTCTTGGACACCCCCCTCTTGGCCGCTCCCGAATGTTGATAGAAGTTCTGGGTTTTATCCAATTTCTGAGACTATGAGCTTCTTAACCCATGATTTCTTAAGCATTTCGCAGGGTACGTTTTTCCTTAGTTGGCGATCTCTGCGATGGGGGGCCTCCACCTTCTGCGTGCAGGATCTCGCAAAGCCAGCTCGATGCTCCGGCATAGCCTCCGAGGGGCGGGCCTCGGGTGGCCTTGCAGTACCTATGTGTGTCGTGCCCGTAGACTTGGCCGCATGCCCTTGCACACGAGCATACACATACATATAAGGGAGCTCCCGGGCCCAGGGCCCCTGGGCCAGCCCTTCCCTTGTATTTCGGTGCCCCTTCTGCCCGGGGACCTCTCGGGGCCCCTCCGGGAGGTCCCAGAAAGCCAGATAATCTTCCAAGACCACCCAAGATAGTTTGCGACTGGCCCTCAAGTCCCCCGAGAGCGCCCCACGAGAGCTCCAAGACGGCCCCATATGACAACGCGACAGTCCCATATTCTAGCCGGGAGCAACAAGATGCTCGCAAGGGACCTCCTGGGACGGCCTCCACAGAGGCCCTAATCGCCCCACTCCCTTAGGACAACGAACATTCTCAGCATGTCCAAGACGGCCCAAGGGGCTCCCACGGCGGTTCAGGATGCTCCCACGAGAGCTCCAGGACGGCCCAAGAAGGGCACAAGACGGCCAAGATGGGCCCAAGACGGCCCAAGAGAGCCCCAGGACAGGCCCAAGAGAGCCCCAGGACAGGCCCAAGAGGGGTCCCATAAGAGGAAAACCAAGTTCAAGTTTCGAGTCTTGACCCAAAGCGGCTCCCAGGAGGCCCCAATAGGCCCCCAAAGGTCCCAAGAGGCTTTCAAAAGCTACCAAAGAGGCCCCTGGGAAGCCCCCAAGAGGCCCAAACATTACGTTCAATATGACCCCGAGAGGCCTCCACGATGCCTCCAAGACGCCCCCCAAGAGGCACCAACAACTACCCCCACGATACCTCCAAAACGCTTACGTTTAAACAGCAGTGTTGCAAAACACAGTTTGTCCAGTGAGTTCAATGTCCTGGGGACTATCTCCAGACTGTCCCAGGCCCAGGCTGGGCTGGGCCTCCGTGTGTTCCGAGATGGGAGGGGGGACGCCAAGCGAAGCTGCCCATTTGTGCCATAGGTGGAGCTTCTTCTGGGGCCTGATTCGCGTGACGGGTGTGCGGATCCGCGTGATGGGGTGTGTCGCAATGGCCAGATGGGGGGGCGTAGTGCGGACTCTGCCTCTGGGTCCGTCGGTGGGAATCTCTGCGGGCCACGATCTGTTTGAGAGGTGTGCCGAAGTAGGCGGGGGGCGGGATGCGGGATGCGAACCTTGTCTCTGGTGCCGTCCGTGGAATTTGTTGCGGGCCACGATCCGTGTGAGGGGTGTGCCGAAGTGAGCTGGGCGACGCTATGAAGCGTGCCTCTGGTACCACAATTGCAGATGCCTGCGGGGCACGATCCGCCTGAGGGACGTACTACAATGCGAACCTTGTCTCTGGGGACGTAGGTGGAGCTCCCTGTGTGGCGCGATCCCTGTAAGGGGTGTGCCGACATCGGCGGAGGGATGCTAAACCAAGCCTATCTTTGTAGCAGCAGGTGGAGCTCCCTGAGGGGCACGATCCGTGTGACAATATATGTCCTCCGATGCCGAACACACTTAGATTTCAGCTAGAGCATGCTAGAACCTGAGCGCGCGCGAAGCGCGCACGCATGACACTATAGCCGTGCTGACACAATAGGTACTTACCCACATACAAAGCGGATCTGGCTTGATCTCGGGCGCGCTGGGGGGAGGAGCACCCAGAAGCCTTCAAGATTGTTCCACAGGGTTCCAGGAGGCGCCGGAAATGGCCATACAGGCCCCGAAGACGACCCAGTAGGTCCCAGGCTGGCCCCAAACGACTTTGACACTGCTCTGCCCAGGGCCCTCGAGAAGCGAAATTCATCAACATCCTGAGGTCTTGTGTGGATGAGCGTAGGACGCCACTCCGCTCGACTTCTTGGGAGCCCACGAACGTGGCGACAGCTGCGCAAGCTGCAGTCCCCCAGTGAGCCACGAGCTCTAGTCGGAATGCGCGTGGGACACTACTCCGCTGGACCTCTCAGGGGCGCACGGAAGTGGCGACAGTTGCGCAGGTGGCTGTTTTCGAATAGCTCTGCGAGGATAAGTTTTATCGCGCGTACGACACCACTCCGTTCGACTTCCCAGGAGCCAGCGAAAGTGGCGACAGTTGCGCAGCCGGCAGCCCTCCCAGGTAGTCGCGAGGGTGCGTCCAGATGTGCCTGGGACACCGCTTCGTCGGACCTTCCAGGAGCCTGCGAAAGTCGCGACAGTTGCGCAGGGGACAGCCCCCCGTTGATTTGCGAGGGTGTGTCAAGATGTGCCTGGGACAACGCTCCGTCGGACCTCCAGTCGCGGCAGCTGCGCACGCAGGTGGCAGCCCCCCAGTGTGAGCGCGATAGGACAGGAAGCAGTTGGTCGGGGGGCATGGGGAAGAGACAGCGGGAGGAGAAGGCTGGCTTCGCGCAAGCCGTGTTCTAATCAACTCCAGGACGAAAAGCCGGTCCTTGGGAAGAGGTCTAGATCCTGGGGGGCCGCGTCTCGAAAACGCTGCGTCGTCGTCGGAGGAGAGGGACCGATTCGCCGAGAGCTCGGCCCACAGCTTCCGGCGGTGCACCCGTGGTGCCGCGCGACCCGGGAGGACCAGTGCGCTGCAGGTTCCGCGCGGGGGGGCCACACGGGGCGGCAGGTGATGGGGGAGACCACGCACATGACGCTGACCGGGTTCCTGCGCTTCTGCAACGACTTCCGGCTCTTCCCGGAGCAGGCTGCGCCCCAGATCTCATGGCGCCAATATCGCAGAGCGGAGTTCGTTCGCAAAACGATAGGATGGGCCGGGAGTGTCCCGTTACGGATTTCGAGGTGAATGTCGTTTGGATCTTTTTGGCCAGGGAAGATGACAAACGAACATCCACGCGAAACTCACTTCGTTTTTCACTCGCCGTTTCGGGATTTTGCATTGGCAGAAATCCACGCAAACATCCGCTGCAGCACGTCTGATATATCCCTTGAGGTGGCTGAGGGCCCCCGCCGCCTTCTTACTGCAGCCCCAGTGGGGCTGCCTGTGTGATGGGCCCTGCCCAGATGGCTGGGAGGTTCCCTCTTCGCTGCGGCTGATGGGCCTGTTTTCCACCATCACCATCTTAAGTTGGACGGGGGAAGCAGGAGGAGGACGAGGAGGAGTAGGACGAGGAGGAGGAGGAGTAGGACGAAGAGGAGGAGGAGGAGGAGGAGGAGGAGAGAGAGAGGAGGAGGAGGAGGAGGAGGAGGAGGAGCTCCACCCTGTTTGCAATTGGCTTCACCTGCCTTCCGCTCTAGTGGTGCTGCTGAGGCTCGTCGCGCTGTGCTGAGGCTGTTTGCGCTGTTTGCAGTGCTGACGCTGGAGGCCCCTTCTTGCGAAGATTCTTGCGAAGGCCTTAGCGGCGGCTGTTAGCCGCCCGCCCCGGAAGGGCGGGACCCCCCCCCCGGGGACCCCCGCTTGCGACCCCTCCCCCCGCCCAGGACCCGCCTTGACCCCTGGGGGGGGCAGCATTTCGAACGCGCCCCGCCCCCCCCCCCCACCCCACCTCTCCTCCTCCTCCTCCTCCGCCTCCTCCTGCCTCTTCCTCCTCCTCCCCTCCCTCCTCCTCCTTCTCGACTTCCTCCTCCTCCTCCTCCTCCTCCTCCTCCTCCTCCTCCGCCTCCTCCTCCTCCGCCAGGACAGAGGGTGGGCACCATTCTGACCCGGGACCGGGACCACCCACCCCCACGCCCCTGGGGCCCGCCAGGCTGGCCACCAATGATCGGCAAGCCGCGCCCCGAGGGTCACCCTCGCAGGGCGTCACCCCTGCGCATGGCTGACCTAAACACATATCCAGCGAGGTTTCGAGTCTGCCCTGGAGGCTCCCGAGACGCTCCAGAGCGGCCCAAGAGAGCTTCCACGAGGCCCCTGAGAGGCCAACCTCTTCCGGGGTTTCTGGGCTTCAGCATCGTCGCCTTCTCGGTCTGCAGATGCTCCGGTGCAGGCCAAGAGGGCTCCAATGTCGCCCCACGGCTGGCGCCAATGTTGGGGCCCAGAGCGGGCCAAGAGGGCCCCGGGACGACCCAAGGGGTCGCCAAGAGAGTTCCAGGAAGGCCCCGAGAGACCCCCAAGACGGCAGGGCCACAAGACGGCCCGAGAGCTCGGCCCAAGAGGGCCACGCCCGAGGATGCCCGCAAGAAGGCCAACGAGGCCCACCCGAAGAGTCCCGAGACAGCCCGAAGACGTCCCAGGCGGCCTAATCATCCCCCTCGCCCCCCTGTGTGCCCCCCGTTTTTTTGTGTTGATTATTTTCTCTCTTTTTTTTTGTGTGTGTGTGTGTGTGGGCTATGTTCAGCTCCAAGAGGCTCCCAAGATGGTTCCGGAGTTGGCAGAAGCGGCCCAGGATGCCCCCTAGACGCTCTAAGGCGATTCCAAGACGGCCCCCCCGAGAGATTGCAAGATGCCTCAAGGGAGACCCTGAGAGGTCCAAGATAGCCCAACTCGGAGAAACGCCTGCGCCTTCTCAGCCTTTTGTGATATTTTCTTATTCGTTGTTTTGCCGATCGACGCGGGCCCTCGCACCCCCCCCTCTGCCCCCCCCTGGAGTAGATCTTGGCTGCTTTTGGCGACTATTTCGAGCAGGTGGAGCCTCCCTCATAATGGACGCACTGTTCCAAACAGCCGCGCTAAGCAGAGGTCCGGAGCCAGACCCCCCTCCCCCCCTTCCGCCCAATGTCGAAACGCCGAATCAACAATGGGCTCACCTTGTGGTATCACGCCTTTCTCCTTCAGATAGCTCTGGGAGCGCCTCATTGGCCCCGAAAGACGCCCCGAGGAGGTTCGAAGGAAGGCCCCGGGACGAGCCAAGGACATCCAACGATAGCAGAGAGTCTCCAGAAAAAGGGGGCCAAGAGAGTCCTGAAGAAGGCCTGGGCGCCAAGTGATGGGTTTCTCCGAAGGGCTTAGGCGACCCGTCCTCTCTCCTCTCTCCTCCCCCTCCTCCTCCTCCTCCTCCTCCTCCTCTCCTCCTCCTCCTCCTCCTCCTCCTCTCCTCCTCCTCCTCCTCCTCCTCCTCCTCCTCCCCTCCTCCTCCTCCTCTCCTCGTCTCTCCTCTCCTCCTCTCCTGCCTCCTTCTCCTCCTCTTCCTCCTCTTCCTCTCCTCCTCCTCGCCTCCGCCTCCGCCTCCTCCTCCTCCTCCTCCCCTCCTGCCTCCTCCTCCTCCTCCTGTTCCCTCCTCCTCCTCCTCCTCTCCTAACTCCTCCTCCCTCCTCCGCCTCCTCCTTCTCTCCTCCTCCCTCCTCCTCCTCCTCCTCCCTCCGTCCCCTCCTCCTCCTCTCTCCCTCCTCACTCTCTCCTCTCTCCTCTCCTTCTCCTCCTTTAGCCTCTTCCTCCATCTCCTCTCCCCTCCTCCTCCTCCTCCTCCTCCGCCTCCGCCTCCGCCTCCTCCTCCTCCTCCTCCTCCGTTGCCATTTTGGCTCAAGATCGGGACAGGCCCGTTTTGAGTGAGGCAGCCCCTCTTCCAGGGCCATCCAGCTGTCAAAGGCTGGCGGACACTTACGTTTTCTGTGCTTCTGATGGCAGATGCGGTCCCAGCTGGGCCTGCCAGTACCCAGGAGCGCCAGATTCTTGCCGAGTTCGAATCCGTGGCCACCTTCCCCGACAGCGAGCGCACTGGCAAGGGCAAGGGTGCGGGCCGTTTCGTGCAGCGCAAGCGGCAAGCCCTCGCGTCGGCCGACGGCGATGCTCCTGTTGCTTCTCTTCTGGATGATGATGAAGACGATGGTGACTTTCTTCGGCAATTGTGCAGAGAGGACTTCGCCACCATGCGGGACACCATCACCACCGAGGTGTCCGAGTCTGTCGCCAAGACCGTCACGTCCAACCACAACACGTTACTTAAGATGCTGTCCTCCATGCAGAGCGAGGTGGCCAAGCAGTCCAGCGCCATCGAGGGCCAGGTCCAGACGGCGATCGCGCCCAGGCTCGACTCCCTCAACAGGCGCCTGCAGGCTCAGCTCGACGAGCAGAAGCGCAGCCTCTCCGCGCTTGAGGGCCGTGCTGACGCCCACGACAAGTCCATTCATGATCTTCACGGCCAGCTTGCCGAACTCCGTCGCCAGATGGCCATCGCCGAGCAGACTCCCAGGAAGCAGCTCGCTGCTCCCACGTCCTTCGACCGCGAGGAGGACACCGCGATTGTTGTTGCTGTGTCACAGCGCCCTACTACCTTGGCCTCAGTGGTCTCTTCGCTGCGCCCGTGGCTCGGCGAGATTGGCTTTGAGGACGAACAGTGCGAGATCAAGCAGAAAGGCGAGTCTCCTGCCAGGAGGTTCGAGATTTGCTTCACGGGCTCGACCACCATTGCGTCGCGCCGCGCCAACAAGGCCACGTCGCTCCTCAAGGGCGCCGACGGCTGGAAGGAGTTCTGGGTCGACCCCCCTGGTGCCGAGCGCTGCCGTTTGCACCTGGGCCCCGACAAGTCGCCCAAACGTATCAAGACCGAGGTCACTCTACGCAAGGCCAGAGCGATTGTGGAGCTGCAGTACCCTGGCAAGCGCTTCTACTCCGACCGCGAGCACGGCGTCCTCTCGATCGGCTGGGACAAGATCATGCACGTCGACGTCTTCCACGGCGACACCCCGCCCAAAATCTACTGGGACTCGACGCAGCTCGCCAAGCATGCCATGGCCATCGACACCCTCCGCAATGCGGTCAAGGAGCTCACGCACCCGACCGACCCTAGCCAGTGGTGCCTTTAGCGCTGCTGGGCTATTTCAACTTCCTGCGCCGCCGCCTGGGTCCGCGGCGTCACCGTTTCGGATAGCTACCTGGAACTCTCGTGCACTTCTACAGGCTGGCGGGGACAAGGCCATTCTGAAGAGGAAGTACGTTCTCCGTCTACGTCCCCTCTCCACGGTCATCGCGCTGCAGGAGGTGCACCAGGACCACTTCCAGCTCGTCTCGTTCTTCAACTCGATCGCGTCGGGCCTCACGATCCACTCCAGCTTCATCACAGACGCGGATGACGGGCATCGGCGTGGTGGAGTCGCTGTGGTTCTTCCGCCGCTGGCTCGTCAAGGGCCCACCTTGCCGACGACATCCTCAACTGTCTTGGCGCCAGGCCGAGCGATGCTAGTCCGTGTGCGGGATGACTGCCGCACGCTCGACATCTTCAACGTTCACAATCATGATCTGTCCGCCCAGCAAGTTCGTGAAGTGGCTGCCGCGATGCGAGTATCGCAGCGCGCGGCTGCTGACGACCCCGACATGTACACCACCTTTGTCCTCGGGGACTTCAATTTTGCCACGCATGAGGCTCTGGCGCTCGCTGCCCCTTCGGCGGCAGTGCGCAAGCAGTCGAAGTGCCACCACGCGCAGGCTCCCAAGTGGCGCCAGGCTCTCGCCCTCCTGACCGAGATTGCGTGCGAGGACCCTACGCACTACGAGAAGTTCAACGACTCGTGCGCGACGATCGACCGCGTCTTCTGCTCGCTCACGGGCTGGCAGATCTGCCAGCTGTATGTCCAGATCGGCACGCTCGACACACCGGCGGCTGTCTTCGACAAAAAGCTCTCTGACCATGCTGCTGTTGTTGTCTCGCTTGCCTCCCGCCCACCTCGACCTGTGGAGTCTCGCCCCATGCCCAAACACCTGTTCTCGGAGCCAGGTTTCAAGAGGCGTCTGGAAGGGCTGTGTTCTGATGTTCCGTGGGACTCCATGTCGCCCCCGTTCAAGTTAGAAAAGTACAAGGAGCTTTTGAAGATTTC